GCAGATTGGTATCAATGGAGACAAATTGAGTTGGCCGGTGATCGATGAAGCTCACCGGCCGTGACGCGAAGTTACGGTAGCGTGCACAACGTTTTCCCTTCGTTCTACTGTCGCATTTCCATCTCGATATAGATCGTCTCTTTCTACAACGGCATTCGTTTGAGAACGTATCACTGACCCTCTGCTATCCTAGCCACTGTAGCGGCCGTGAATTTACACGTTTGCTTACCAATTGATCTGGATAGGTCGAAAGGTAGTCTAGGGAAATCGCTTTCAGATTCTCTACACCCGACTCGGAAATACTTTACCCTTTGTTTTACTATACTGAACTCTTTCTCTATGGTGCATGTACACAATGATTATTGGTACGGTGGACACGTAATCAGCTAATGTCGCATGATTACTGTGTCAATTTGATGGTGCACCTTTGCGTATCTGCATCTTGGCCGAGAAACGTTAGAGGGAAAGCATGCTATCGGTATGAGAGGAGGCAGAGACGATAGTGACTATTGAGACGCGGTGTGTAAACTCAGACTACCAGCTTTTAGTTGATTAACGCACGTCGACCGTGACTCGCTACGGATCTCTCGAGTACAATGAAAATAGCTTCTGCCTGAAAGACGGATTACTCCAGATTATTGACTTTCGACTCGCTCCTTCGTTTCGCCGCCAAGTCAGACCGGATGAAGAAAAGAAGGGATAAGACGATGAATTCCATTCCGGTCCTTCTGACCCGACAACGGACACCGCTACTGTCTAACAAATTCTAACAGACATTCCATCCTTTTTATTCATTAAAATCACTAGGTTCCATGATTTGGTACAAGGTTTATAAAATTTTTCTTATTTTTTATACGTTTCAATTTTCTTTCGGGTATTTTTATATATTAAAAGCTTCGATAAATATTCATTTTTAATGCGTTATTACCGATACTCGAGGAAAAACGTAAGACTTGCAGAAGTAGCTAAGTTTCCTGTGAGAGATCCTACTTAAGTTGCCTAAAGTATTATCGTCGTAAGAACGAAACGGTGAAGGAGTTCTTGGAATCTTGTAGAGATGTTCTGCCATTTTAGAATCTATAAAAACTTCTTCCTTAAGAAGCGAGCCAGCCTGTAATGGAACTCGTAAAATCCTTATTTCTCTTTGCGAAGCTACTCCACACCGATCATGTGTACCAATGAAAAAATTCAAATATAAATTGTTCGCTAATAATATAACGATTAATAAAGAAATTTTAAATAAGATTTATATTCTCTTTCTGTATAAGTGGATCACGTGCTATTTGTAAATAATGCTAGGTCCAATATTTTCGAGCCATGGTTCCGTTTGTCGATATTATTTGCAATTTCATCGGATCGATCGGAAACGTTTTTACTTAAGCGATATGTAAAACGTAAATAAATCCATTTTACCCTTTTTGTTAAATCCATGAGAAAGAACTCGGTATCTGGCCGTCGTCAATAGCGATTTCGTATTTACGAGGCATGAATTTTACAACTCGTTCACTGTAACGTGATTATCCGAATTCCGAGCTCGGCTTGAAGCCGGAACACACTTGAATGTAGACATATGTATGGGTACCTGTGTATGCGAGTGTGTGGAACCGTTCTACTCGCTCTATCTGTCGACATGCATAATGCACAGCTCAGGCGAGTTTACATTGCCAATGGCGAATCGAAAAAGTTTCAACCAGTAAAAGTATTTTTTGAACTCTATCGTTTGTTATCATTTCCAGAAAAAAGAATAATAGTTAATTAGAATTATTTACAAAACATAAGAAAAATATTCTCTTACAAATTTAAGAGATATTTATTAATTTAACCAATGGAGAATAATTTGTAGTAATAAACACTTTTTTACAAACTTCAATATTTCAAAGATCGCAATATTTTTACAGATAAATAAATTATTCAGAGAGGTATAGTAGTGAGTAGTTGAGTTAGGGGTGAAAACAAAATGGAAGGTATTTTAACCTCTCTAAATCGTCGAGACGTTAACTTCCTGCCGTTTGTTTCAAACGGCTGGTGGACGGTGACGATTCTTTGGTTTGGGGGTCTACGTAGGCACGATACGAATGATTTCGTCTAGACGGCCGGCTCAATCGGTCGGAAACGATTTGTCCCTGAGGCCGTTGGCGAATTCGGATATTCGCAAAGGCGAGCCGGAATCTTGGTTCGTTGATGGAAAAACGCGGCGCGGAAGTCGGTAACGACCATCCTCGGAAAAAGTTTTAAAGTAAATATCGTAAAAATTCATTTCCTACCAGCAATACGTTTCCATTCGTCCTTCCCCTCTTCATTTTCTTTTTTCCTCTCTCCCACGCTATTCTTCCAATGCACCGTATTCGTAATACAGTAATCCGGTCTGTTCGTATTCGTAAGCGTTAGAGGGGTTAAAGCGGTGGGGATGGTCGGCCGATGGTGGCTGGTGCAGGTGTTAGCATACATCGTTTAAACGAGTCGGTTCTTTATGATGAAATTAAAACAAGCGACTACACGCGTAGACACCGGTTAACAGGTATTTTGTCGACGGGGAATCGGTGCTGCGGTGGTTTCTCGCCCGTGTTAAACGTTAACCAGACCTTCTATTCGTTTAAAAGGCAACACTACCGTCTCTGTTATAGAGTACAGTAGCTGGCAAAAGTTTAATTCACTGATGATCGTAAGGGTGACTTTACATTGGGCAAGTCCCAATGTAATTGGGCCCAGTTACTAGTCCAATATAAACTTGGCCCAAAGGAGTAAATTTCGTCTTATGGATTGTACAGTATAGTGCAAAGATGGCTTTTTAATTGTGATTAGAGTAGATGCCATTTAAATGGCCATCAACACGTTAACAGAACAATGTTGAACATTTCATTTTAGTAAAAAATTCATTTATCCTTGCTTTGAGCGAAGGATAATTTACAGACTAATCGATGATCGACTGTATATCGATTACCAGTATCACAGGGACGTACACACGAGTATTATTGACGATACGAATTATCCGTCGCATCACGATGAGATATCTAGAGTAGCCAATAGCGTAATATTGTACTACACCCCGTCTAATTATCGTACGTGCCTAATTTCAAGGTACTACGTTGAAACGTACTAACCGTAACTAACGTTGATGGGTAAACGCTATTAATCCATGGTTTGACTTCTATAATACCAATCGGCTGTCCACAAAACGTGAACATGTATTTAATAATCATTTTGAAATATTGCGTTATTTCCGTCCGGTTCATAAAACACCCCGTTTCACTGTCATGTGAAAAATAAATCAATCTTTCTGATATAAAATGAATGAAAGTTTAAAATAATCGAAAATCGGAGAATATAGGTGATCCAAGACGTACTATGATTCCATATTGAACACTTTGATAAATCATTTTCATTTTCTAATAAGTATCTATTGAGATTCTCAGATTTTTGTCGTGTTTTAATGATTTTTGCCCCAGTATGTCAACGGTAGATCGATTATTGACATAGAGAAAATACGTTATATCGATTAGTTAGGAACGTTATCGGGATGTTGTATGCCGAGATTTGGAACACACCTAGGAGGGTCTCGTCACGAACACGATCCCGTATAGACCAGCACGGTAATTATCTGCTCGTAATTGCTAATCGATTGCCGCCAATCTCTGATCACCCGTGAAACAGTATCAATAGAGGGAAGGGAACGTAACATAGTAGCCGTGAGATCCGTAAGCACTATTGATAAATTTTCATCAACGGTCTGAATTGAATGAAAGACTCGCCTAATTTACTTTGTAACGAGTTCAGATGAGCCGAAGATAATTTCAGAATTCGATGGTGGCAAGAATAAAAGAGTTCAAAGTGAAGTTGTGTTTGTCGCAACTAAATGTTAAATTGGTTAGCTCTGCAATCCGGTAGCTAACGAAAAGTCAACTCGTTGAAAAAAAAAAAGAAAAAGAAATTCGTCTGGTTCCGTCCACAGAAGCGGACAGAGTTCAAACGATCACCGATGATTCCTGCTATGTGATTCGAGCCAACACTTTTTCCCAGGTTTGAAAGAAAAACGAGGAACGCGAACGGCTGGTCCCGTCTGACTGTGATCATTATACGCGATCTTAATTACGACGTTTAGACGGGCACGGTCGAACGATTTGGCGACGCGAGAGAATTTAATTACATGCCAGGCCGAAAAAGGCCGCGAAGGCGAAAGTGGGTTGTCCCTGTACGCGTACACGCTCGCTGCGGTGGGTTAGGTGGTTGAAAACCGAGGGCGGAGAGAAAAGCCGGCTAGAACGACCGGAATTAACCTGAGCGTGGAACCCTCCGCTACGATATACCGACCTTGCTATTGCGTAACGACCTTTCTGCAACCGCCATCAGGATTCTTGCGAAGAAAACGAGGGAGAATGATAACGTAGTGAAAGTCAAAGGTGAATGCTCCCTATCTGAATATGTGACTTGTTTCCATGAAAGGTATACCTTATGTAGTTTATATTTAGTACACACGTAGTACTGATGTAGTAGTTCTATTACAACTGCTCTTTGATAGAGTACTGACTGTGGTAAGTTAAATTCCTTGCCTGTATGTATACGTACAGGATGACAGGAATATAGGGTGCAATGATTATTTTCCTATGTACAGTACCGAGCATGGTAGGCTTCCCTAGGGGAAATGACGATTTAGGGAAAAAGGGACACCACTGGTATGTAAACGTTTACTGGGGAAAATATTTGAAACTTAGACGATATAAATTTTGTGAATTTTGGAAATGAGACTGACTCATGTACAACCTAACTTAAATCCAACCTATAGAATGATTGGGTCTTCCTTTTATAATATCGCTTTTTTCCCTTGAGAAGTCTACTACGCTCGGAACTGTAGAAAAGGAAATAATTGAAACGAAAGCAAAACGGGTATCAACGCGACCTGATGAAAATAGCTGGGTATCGTTGAAATGGCGGCCATACGGGCATGGAGGCGCGCGGCTCTGCAACGCCGATGAAGTAAAACGCAGCTAAAGTAATTGGCCTACCTTTCAGATGTAAATGCGGTTCGTTAGGGGATTTCCACGAGCAATGCATCGCCAACGGCCACTGGTTATCCTGTCGACACCATCGAACTCGGCCAGTTGGAAATACTCGACCCCCGTCGTCCATAGACTCCCATACCTGCTGCACCTGTAATATATAAGTAACCGAAGATGTTAAACGTCATGGTAATTCGACGTGGCAGACTTTTTTATTGATGTTAAATTTTCTACATATGAAAGTATTGTTAAAATGAGACGCATTCGGTAATTGGCCGTGTGCCATTGATTCGTGGTAGGTAATAATGTTAATTACACTATTGGGAGAACTGTGAATCGATGCGAATTTAATTTTTTCAGCCAACATTCGTTACCTCGTACACATTTTATTTTTGCTTTATCATTCGGATAATAATTATATAATGTTTTATCATGAGAATTACCACGCACTATGAATAAATCTTAGACATAAAAATAAATTAATAGTTTCATACTTAAAATTATAATTTTGAAGATGCTGTTGACAGAAGATAACCTCGAATGTGTTTCGGCGTCACGCGATCGACTGTAGCGACAATCGGGCCTCTCTGGTGTCGCGTAACTAATCGGGCTTCTCCGGCGTCACGTGACCGATTGAGGCGACGATCGGGCCTCTCCGACGTCACGTGACTAGTTGGAGGTGTAATTCAAATATCAATAAGAAATATTTTAGCTAAAAATTAATACTTTATTCTTTAAAAATCAACCACTTCAACACTTAAAACAGCAAAATGTAACATAGTCATACATAAAGCTTCTGTATGGTTAGCAGAAGACTTGAAAAAGAACATATACACTTTTGTTCTCTCTCTGTTCGTTGAAACTGGAAACGTAGTCAAGGCGTTACTAAGGCAGAGAGACAACAGGGTCTGGCAGGGCTGCGCCGTGTCACAAAGGGAATCGTTTGCCGATTTTCTTCTCTTTCAACGTACAAACGTAAATTAAAAATGCCCCGGACCCTATTTAATGAACGAACGACAAAAGAGCAGCCGTCGAAATGTGGCGCAAAAAGGGACACACGAGAAACACGCCGGTTCTGACAAAAATTAATTTCCACCCTTTCTCGCGAGCAACGCTTGTTACGCGAGCACGCGCACCGCTTCCTGCAGAGAGAAAAAAAAAAAAAAATAACACCGCGTGTGTAACACGTTAAAAGTGTGGATGCGAGGCTCGTTGCTGGTAAAAGTTTCGACCGTTCTTCCGTTAACTTGATTTTTATAACGTACCATAGAGGAAAATTAAAAAAATTTCTTTCGAAATAAAATGTAATCTTTTTCAAATGATTCGGGTAAATGATAAAGGGGTTGTTTGTGTTTTTGGAAATTCGAGGGTTGGGCGAACGAATGTCCCCTGGATCTAACACATTTCCGGTCGACGCGCGCATTGCCCTTCACTCGGTTAACGCGCGACCGCGAAAATTATGAACGCGCCAAAGTTCAAAGCGTTCCCTTCGGGCTGTTGTTGAACAAAAATAGCCGAATTGCCCACCTCTGAAAGCTGCAACAGTCATGATAAATAGTGAACACGTCACTGAATATTTGTTTTCGTTTGTTACACGTGTGTAATTGCCCTCTTATCGCTGGATAATATTTATCTAAATTCAACGAACAACAATTTTCAGCGATAAATCAGATAACAGCTTGGATGCCTCGAAATTTAACAAATAATATAGGACGTTCCTTGTTTCTGAACTGAATTCTTTTTCTTTTTTTCTTCTTTTTTTAATTTCCCTCGTGTGCCAGAAACATTAAGGCCTGACGTCATTTGGGAAACGATTCATTGACATTTGCCAGGCGTTGGGCTCGGTTCTCTGAAAGGATCTTTTGAAATCCGCGAGTATAGCTTCCTGTCACGGGGACGCGTGATTGTTTCGAATCCGGCTGTTTGTCTTGCGCACCAGAAAGCTCACGAAACTCATTAGGCTTTGCCATTTGAATTTTTATCGCTCGCGTTTCACGCCTTCATTAAGTACCGCTAAAACAAAGGAAAAAAGAAAGATACGGATTCGTTTCGCCTGACACATCTGCCTCGTCGTTCGTTATGTGTTGCGGGTGTCAGTAGGTCAAGCCTGCTTTTTACATCACATATTTCTCCCTATTTAAAAACAGATACCTAGTTTACGAACGTTTCGTTTATTCTTCAAGTGAAACGTTTGCACCGATTCGGGTTAAGTTTTAGTATTATTTAACGGAATGAATAATTTCTGAGTTTAATTAGAAATATTTATGTAACAGTTATAGGAATACGGCCATTTTCATTACTATTGCTATAATAATACTATTATTACTATTACTATATCAATACTTGTATTTTTATTACAAAATTTTCTATAGAAAATATAAGAAGTTAAGAAGAGTAGTCGAGTTACACGACGTGTACAGAATGATATTTTTGATACGAAACGAAGAAGTATCTCCTCAGAGACAGTAAGGAGAACGCATTTAACGCTTAGTTCGTCGATAAGAAAAATCTTGTCTGGTCTCGGGTACTGGTTGCTGGTAGGAACCCTCTCGACGGTACTTTCAATGGCGAGGTGCTTCGTTAATTCGCCTTCAAGCTTGGAAATAATTTCCAGCCGGAGAATTTCATCAGGACGAGGGTAAAGTAGCCCTTGTAACGTCTGCCAGCCGGCTTAACACTCGTTTAAGTGTGCATATATATATATATACATATAATATGCGTACACGGGATAACGGTTTTAGTCGTCGCTGACGAAATATTACTTTCGTTATTGTTTGTCCCTACAACCATCCGCCTTCTTTTTCTTAATTATTTTAATTAATCCAAGACGAATCAACTTCTTGAGCATTCGGAAGATTCAACAGAATTCTCTTAATTAGCCGGTGTTTATAATGAAGCAACGATTGGTTCTATCGGGGATTCAGTTAATCAATGATCGTTACGGCGATTCGATAGGAAAGCAGGTTAGAGTGGAAACTGTTTAATTTCTGTCCCCGGTAATCCTGCATTCACGTTAATCCGAGCTTCGGGCTGCTGTCCGAAACTACGCCGTAATGGGGACGCAAGACTAATGTGCCGTTAATTCGGAGATAATTAGCGACCAGTCTTCGCCGAGCTGCTTCACCTGCCCGACACTAGATCGTCGACTCCCCTTTAACTTGGACTAATTTCAATGAAACACGAGACAGTCCTCCCGATCGGACGATTAAAAGTTTGCCCTTTCAATTACGCCACCGTCCAAGCTTGATTGCCGACTAATTTTGTATTTGTCTTCGCACAAGTTGCAATCAGCTTTCCCAAAATTCGTGGGTGTCAGTTGGGCGATTGTTATTTTTCATGGCATTTAATTATTTTCAGTGATGTATTTATAGCCGGTGTTTTATGAAGTAACGATGGGCAATTGTGCACTCGATCTGCCCATCACGGTTATCAAGTATGGCGGTTGTATATTAACAAAAGTTATTCATGAAGAGTACGCATTTGAAGGAGAAGTCAAAGAGTCTCTGCTGAAGGAGTATTTGAAATGAGAGGAAGATTCTTTGAGCAACATTTTCTCGCGTTTCCAGCAATTAGCAGTCTTGACGCCAACTCATTAGCGACTTATAAGGAAGTGTGCACACATAAAAGTTGCTTATGGTTTACTCTGAACCTTTTCCTCTCTCCCGTTTGCTTTCACTGGGAAAGGCAAGGCCCAGTAGTCGTACAAAGAATTTAAGTGAAGCTAATTTTCAAGAAAGCTGTTACACTTCCAACTTATTTCAAGCTTCATTATTAGCTTAAGTACGAGTGCTGTTTTCTCGCTGCGTTTCCCAACTCCATCTCCTCCATTTACTCTCTTTTTTATCATCACATCTCACTGAACTGCCCTCCTTTCCCATTTCAGCTTCGATGGCTCTTCAGATTCTTTACAATCTCAAATTGCACCCTTCCTTTCAGTTGAGAATACATTGAAATAAAATCGTCATTCAGTTTTCTCGTCCAGAGCCACGAGGGTTATCATTGACCTACAACGTTAGAAATGATCGAAAAAGAGAAGAAATATTGGTAATTATGCCATTTAAAGAAATGAAGATAAATTCAATTTTTTATTGGAAACTTAAGATTTTTATTTCTTTGTAACGCATTACCCCTTCAGGGTAATATTACTATACCATGTTATTTTCCTATAGGCATTTTCCGGAGATTCTCGTTGCACAAGGGTTATCTCTTCGAACCGGTTGTCCGGCAATACTAATAACACCGCAAAGTGTTTTTCAGAAGTGCACCTGTATCAACAACATTGTTACCTCAAGGGTTATTGTAGAGAACGAGGACACTCGTAGGCGAACAGCATCAACGATTTCAGAAGCTTTTGTAATTTCTAGCTTACGGGAAGCCACTATTATCGAACAATCCGACTGGATAGCGATCGTTTTGTAGAGATACTTCTATGAATTGGACGATCGTTGTGCAACGATCCATTTTGATAGTAGGAAGCTAGGGATATTTCACCGGGGATGAAACAATTTTGGTGAAAATTGTGAAGGAATTAATTTTCAAGATTATAACATTATAACACAATGTCCACTGTCCAAGTAAACACGTTAATTCGGTCCTATAAAATTGTGACAGTATCAAAAGATGTTTCCAATTTAATGAAATCCTTTGTGACTGGATACCCGATACGTTTAAACGAAAGCATTCCTCTTGATCCTTTTATTCTACCGTCGGTTATTGTTCGTCGTTAAAAACAGCGTAACCGTTGAAGCAAGGTAGCCGGCATAAAAGCGTACGCTCATAATAGTAGGCTACTCCATAGTTGGTCGGTATCAGACGATGAAGGGTGATAAAGTGAAACGAGACTCATCACGCGAATGGAAGAGACAGGCTGCACCACCTGTCAGGGGAATCAAAATCAGGCACGGATCAAAGCGGATGCGTGCATCATAGTAGATGAAGCGGGTTTTCTGCTTGCGAATCAGTTGCCTGATCGAACGCGCAAATGATATAGACGGCGGAAAGCGGAATGGACCGAGGCAGAGGGAAAAGACTAAGTCGATTTTAATTTAACCGGAGGACAAATTAAAAGGCATCAATCTGGAGAGCCGAGTACTGTGGGGGATTAACAGTTGGTTCTCAAGGATCTGGAAATATGAGGGGTAGCTAACCCTTCGATCAAACCCGCGATTCCCTGCGTTTACAGTTTACAAAGGGTGCTGCTTTGTGTTGACGACTGAGGGCTGTGGACATTCGTTGGATCTACTTAATAATGATATTATAAATAATAAATACATCTTCATTCTCTAACGTTATTGCTTGTTATTATTAGAGTCATCAACAGCGAATAATTTTAATCCGATTACGAAATATCAACGTGACGAAGGACGAAGATCAAACAGCACAATAATTGGTTCGTCCACTTAACACCAACCCCCGGCCCGATGAATGTATTCGTTGAGATTACGCGAAATGGTTGTAAATGCCAAGAGAACTACGGTCTGTTGGGGCGACCCTTTCCTCACACCCTTGCAAGGGCAACCGACTATCTCGCAACTGCAGTTACAACTGCACAAAGGTTAATGCACGCCATTGTCGCTGCCAGACCAGTAGAACTATTGCGCT